GCGGGGGCGCCTAGGGGTGGCGGCGGCAGGCGTGGGGCGCGGGCGGGCGGGCGCCCACCTTTGTGCATCCCCGTGTAGGGGTCCTTGAGCACCGTGAGCTCGTAGATGCGGCCGAACTGCTCGAAGAGCGGCTTGAGGTCCTTCTCGTCCAGGTTGCGCGGGATCTGGCCCACGAACAGTTTGATGGCGTCCAGGTCCTTCATGCCGTCGGGCTGCGCCCCGGGGGGCTCGGGCCCGCTACCGCCCACCGGCGACGGCCGCGGCTGCAGGAGCGGGTGCTGCTGCCTGCGCGCCTCGCTCTCGGTCAGGCGGGCCATGGCGGGCGGCGCGGCCGGCGGCGGCGGTGGCCTCGGAGGGGGACGCGCCTAGCCCGCCGCCGCCCCGCCCGCCGCGCTGGACCACAAAGGCGGCGCGCGGCGACCCCTGGCGGCCACAGCGCGCGCTGCACCACGGGGAGCCGGGCGGGGGAGCCAGCCGGCGGGCACGAGAGGGACAGGCGGCAGCAGTGGGGAAACTGAGGCCGGGAAACAAGCGGAGACTGAAGCCGGGGCACGAGAGGGAAACTGAGGCTGGAGACAAGGGAATACCGAGCCATAGGTGCATGGGGGTAACAGGACCGGAGAGCTCGGAGAAGACGGGCTCGGAGGTGCATGGGGAGACTGAGGCCCAAGAGGTGCCCGAGGGGTGGTGGCCTTGCTGCCCCCCCCCCGTCCTCAGCAGGTCGCCCACGCTCACTCCTAAGGAGCTAAGGACAGCCAAGGACAGGACCTGGCCCCTCCTTGCTCCCTCTGGCTTCGTGGGCTCCCGCACCACCCTGGTCTCCTGCGCTGCCCCCCGGGCCTTTGCTCGGCCCCAAGCGCTGCTCCTGTCCTTGTCTCCCCTCGCTCTCTCTGGCCGTCACAACCATAAATCCTTCACCCACCATGACTCCCTTTCCTGGTCTCCGCTTTCCTCCATGACATTCACAGCCCCTGGGGATTTTATTTCAGTGTGGTGTATATCTGCTCAATGTAGGCGACCCATCTAGCACTTTCCAGCTTCTAGGCTCGGTGCCCGCGTGCACCAGGTCCCTCGGCCCACACAACCAGGGTAAATAAATAGGCAAGAGCTGTAGACTTCGCATGCGGTGAAAGAAACAGAGCTGGGGCAGTCCGAGGCAGGCTGGTCGGAAGACAGCAGCTCAGGGCTGGGGTGCGAGTGAGGCCGCAGGTGCAAATGTCCTGGGGCAAGAAGCACTCACAGCTGGAGGGACAATGACTCAGCCAGGGACAGGAGCCCAGCGTGGGGTAAAAAGGCTGGCCACAGAGGTGCCACACCATCTGCACCAAGAACTAACGTGAAAAATTAATGTCACCCATAGTGAGGCAAGGCTGCCACTCACTCTGATGTGGAAATTAAGGAAGGGGGAGCCCCAAATATTGCGCCAGATGGGTGGGCTCCACTGTGTTTGTGTCGCCCACACGCTGGAATATTATCCAGCTGGGAAAAGGAGCAGCACACACTCGACACAGGGCGGATGGACCTTGGTGCTGCGCTCTGAGACACCAGACACAGAGCACACAGAGTGTGGGCTCTGTGGGCAGGAAGCACCCAGGACAGGGAACCCAGAGGCAGGAAGAGAACTCATGGGGTGCCAGAGTGGGAAGGGACAGGGGACGGCTCATGGGGATGGCTGTGGATTCCTTTGGGGTGATGGGATGCTCTGGGACTACAGAGAGGTTGTGGTTGCAAAAGGGTGAATACGAATACTAAAAGCCACTTAGTTGTTTTTTAAAATCTTCCACACAGCCAAATGTGGTGGCGCACACCTGTAATCCCAGCCCTTGGGAGGTTGAAGCAGGAGGATCACCAGATAGCTAGATCTTGTCTCAAAACAACAGCAAAAATCACACTTTTAAATAAAGACGGGGGGGGGGGTCTGGGAGATAGCTTAATAGAAGAAGCACTTGCCTGGCAAGTGCAAGGACCTCAGTTCAATCCCCAGTTCCACCATAAATAAATAAATGAATAAAGACACTGCCTTTGGTAACACAGGACTTGTTACCGATGTTGACTTTTTTTTTTTTTTCTCTCAGTATCAGGGATCAAACTTGGGACCTTGTGCTTGCCAAGTAGGCGCTTATGCCACTGAGCTATCTGCCCTGCCTTGACTGATTGAGACAGGGTCTCACCATACAGCCAGCCTTGTGCTCACTATAGCTGGTCCCCAACTCACAGAGATCCTCCTGTCTCAGCCTCCTGAGGGCTGGGGATCAAACATCAGACCTTGTGCTTGCCAGGTAGGTGCTTATATCTCTGAGCTATCTCTCCAGCCTCTTTATTTTTTTTTAAATTCTTTTTTATTTGTTTATTTGGTACAGGGTATCGCTACACTCAGACTTCTAGTGATCCTCCTGTCTCAGCCTCCCCAGCGCTGAGATTACAGGCCTGCACTACCATGCCCACCTTCAGTGGCCAGCACTGCATGTGGTACTGGGGATCAAACCCGGGTCCCTGCACTTGCCAGGCAGGTACCCAGACCACTGAGCTATCTTCCCAGTCCCCAGCCTCTTTACTTTAGTATATATTATGTTCCTTTGGTTTCTGAGATAAGGTCTCACTGTAGAGTTCAGGCTGGCCTTGAATTCACTTTGTAGCCCAGGATGGTCTCAAACTCTGAGATCCTCTTGCCTCAGCCTCCTGAGTGCTTGGATTACAGGCATGTAACAGAGCAGAGGACACCACACCCAGCCTTATGTACTTTATAAAATTTTATTTATTTTTTATTTTTTCTTTATGTTCCTTAGGATTTTTTTCTTAGTTTCATTAAATTTATAATAGGATCAGCAACAATGTCAAAAGACACTACCAGCCAAACCAATGCTGTCTTTTTGTTTAAAATGGTGATATTTCTAGATGTGGTTGTGCGCACCTGTAATCCCAGCCCTTGGAAGGCTGAGGCAGGAGGACTGTCCTGAGTTTGAGGCCAGCCTGGGCTACATCGTGAGTCAAAGCTAGCCTGAACTGCAGAGCAAGACCCTGTCTCAAAAAGATTAAAATTAAAAAAAAAAAGAGGTGATATTTTGTTCATGATGGACTTTTCTTTTGGTGTCAGTTTTGCTATTTTTCTTTAAATACTGAGATCAGGGGCAGGCGTGCGGTCCAGTAGTGAGCCTTTGCTCAACACGCATGAGGCCCTCATTCCACACCCAGTGCTGCTAAAAGAGGAAAGGAAACAGAAGTATTCGAGTTGCTTTGGCACAGGGATGGAACCCAGGACTGTACCTACATCCCAGTGCTTTCTGTACTGTATATTTTGAGCCAGGGTCTCACTAAATTGCCCCAGCTGAACTCAAGCTTGCCATCCTCCTGCCTCAGCTTCCCAGAGTTCTGGGATTACAGGCCCCCCGCCTCTGTTTCCAGTGTATTCTTTATCTTGATAGCCGAGTTCTGGGAGGCTGCCTTATGCCTGCTTTCTTTCTTCCTTTCTTTCTTTCTTTCTTTCTTTCTTTCTTTCTTTCTTTCTTTCTTTCTTTCTTTCTTTCTTTCTTTCTTTCATTTTTGGTGGAACCAGGCATTGAACTTAGGCCTTTGTGCTTGCCAGGGAAGCGCTTATTACACTAGCTGTCTCCCGGGCCCCCCCGACCTTATACTCTGCTCTCCAGGCGAATTCGCCCTGGTCCCTCCTTGCAGCATGCTGGTCTCATTCCAGCACGTACTTCAGGGTAGGAGCTGAGGCCCGGAGACACTCAGTCACCTGGGCACAGTCACCCAGCACAGGCTCAGGAATCCAAGCCCAGAACCCAACTCTGGCTCCTCCAACCTCCCACGCTCTTGTGTCTCCCTGTGCAGTAAGCCACTTTCACGTTCCTTACTTGCCTAACAGTGGACTCAGGGAGCTAAAGTGTGGGCTCTGCACCCTCAGCGCCCCCGAAGGGCCATGAACACTACTGTCCACGGCAGCCGCAGCCCCAGCAGACAGGGGTGAAGGTGGCTGAGGAGCTGACCTAGGTGACCGTCCCCAAATCGTCCCTCCCCTAGGCTGGATGAGGTCAGGCCAGGGAAAAAGCTTCGCAGGGCCTCCGGGCCTCGGGGGTCGGACTCTTTCCATGGAGACCCAGGTAGGATGCTTGAAGACCTGCAGGCCGCAGAGCGCTGGGAGAACTTTTATGGTAGAACAAAGCACAGTGGGGTATGGTAGGGCGCGCCTTCCATCCTTGTACTCTGGGAGGCTGAAGCAAGAAGACTGAAAGTTTGAGCCCAGCCTGGGGAGCAACTCAGAGAAACCCCAGCTCAAAATAAAGGAATAAAAATGATCCTCTGACCCGGCCAACACCCTCAGCCACATGAGGGCCCCAACAGGGCAGAGAAGAGTAAGGCTGAGGCCTGGCCTCTGGGGTGCTACCACCCTGAAGCGAGCTGGCTACTGCTGATGTGATGGCGCTGGGGGATGGGAGGCCTCACGTCGTCTCCTCTCTGGACATCCATTTCTCCATCTGCCTGCCCCAGGACCCATGCAGGCCTCAGCCACTACCTCCTGAGTTCCTCGTGGGCTCCCTGGCAGAATGGATGGTAGGGCCCATGGTCTCTCAGCAGGCACCATGGGCGGGGGGGGGGGGGGGCTGTAGGGCGTGTTCTGGGGTCACCCCGGCCACTGTGGGGCTGAGTAAAGCCTCAGCCCGCACCTGTCCATGCCAGGCCTTATCTGGGGTGACAGCTACATGCGTCCCAGACACAAGCAGGGTCACCTCCGGTGAGAACTACTGCCCATCTTGAGGTTGCCATCCCCCACAAGTCCCCTGCACACCAGAGCTGAGGCATATAGTGCCAGGTGCATCCTCGGGGACCCTGTGGCTGCCTGTGTGTCCCTCATCACCCACCTGTCCACCCCAACTTCCAAGGCTACAGGGACAGGAATGGCAGCAGCTCTTCTCTCCCGGATCCAGTTGTCCAGCCTAGCTGCCACTCTGCCAATGCCAGGGGAGTGAACACAGGGGCGTCAATGGTGGAAAGTAACTGGAAGCCTTAACAGTTTTTGGCTTTTTAAAAATTTCCATTATAGGGGGTTGGGGAGATGGCTCAGTAGAATACGCGCTTCTCTGGCAAGCGCAAGGACCTGAGTTCAATTCCCAGTTCCACAAAAAAAATTAAATAAATAAATAAATAAATAAACATTTCCATTATAAGGCTGGCCAGATAGCTCAGCGGATTAAAGCACCTGCTTAGGCAGACACGCAGAGACTGGGGTTTGAGTCCCAGCTGTGCCATGCTGGCCCTGCCCCCTGGGACCCTGAGCAGTGGATTGAGACTGGGTGTGGTGGTGCATGCCTGTAATCCCAGCATTTGGGAGGCTGAAAACAGGAGGATCGCTACAAGTCCAATCTGTGTAGTGAGACCCTGTACTAAATACATTTAATTTTTTTTTTCCATTATAATTTTGTTTCAATGTTGGGGTTTGAATCCAGGGACTTCACCCCTGCCCTTTTGTATTATGGTGAGACAAGGTCTCAGTACATCACTAAGTTGCCCCGGGGTGAGCTGGAACTTGGGACCCGACCCCCCCCCCCCGCCTCAGTCTCCGAGTGCTGAGGTCACAGATGCACGCCACCTGGCCTGGCCTGTTCTAGTTTTCAGAGCAGGCTGGGCGGGAGGTGCGCTGGCACTATATCCACGGCATTTTCTTTCTTTCTTTCTTTCTTTCTTTCTTTCTTTCTTTCTTTCTTTCTTTCTTTCTTTCTTTCATATTTAGTACAGGGTCTACAGGGTCTCGCTATGTAGATCGGACTTGTAGTGATCCTCCTGTTTACAGCCTCCCAAGTGCTGGGATAACAGGTGGGCGCCACCATACCCAGTCTCTCAGTTGATGGCTCAGCGTGCTCTGGAGGCAAGGCTGGCATCGTGACATTTTCTATCAGCTGGCTCCCTAAAAAAACAGACTAAAATTTTTTAAAAAAAAAATCTTCTATTTGGGGCTGGTGAGATGGCTCAGTGATCTAAAGCACCTACTTAGAACAAGCTTAGCAAAGCACAGAGACCGCGGTTCAATCCCCCAGCACCACATGCCAGCCAGCCCCGCCCCCTGGTGGGCTGAGCTGGTCACACACACACACACACACACACACACACACACAAAATTTAAAAAAAAGAAAAAAAATCTTCTATTTATCTTAAGGCAAAATTTACACCAGCAGCTTGAGAAAGAAAACTTTTTAGTCTGTTCATGAAAATCGCCTCTGTGGGAAAATCAAAGCAGGGCTGGGGACCTGAACAACTGAGTAAGATTTTCTTTTCTCTTTTTTTCTTTTTTTTTGCGGAACCAGGGTTGTGCTTGCAAGGGAAGTGTTTATTCCACTGAGCCACCTCCCTGTCCCCCACAGCTGAGTGAATTCTGCCTGGTTGGCGCTGATTTATGAGTCCGCTTCCTGATTCTGTGATTAGGGACGAGAACACCCTGGGTTTTAGGAAATATGCTTCCAAGTATTTTTAGTAATAAAAGAGAAAGAAGGGAGGGTCTGTGCCACACACCTGTCATCCTAGCACTCCCAGGAGGCAGAGGCTGGAGGATGACAAGTTTGAACTCAAAAAGGGCAACTTACGCCTCACTGGGACCCTGTCTCAGAATATCAAAACAGATGCAGATAATGAGGACGAGGACAAGGATGGAGAGGGTACTTCCAGCCCTGAGGAGAAACTGTGATGGCTTCCAGGGGCCTTAACACACTTTCAAGCAAGCAATGAGAGCCCCAGGAAGCCACCTTTGGGGTCGTGGCGGAGGTGTCCATGGCTGTGGCAGGCGATGCCTGTGTGATCTTGCTTTGCTGCCATCCAGGGCAGCAAGGGATCCCACACAAGGCCACACTGCGCCCCCACTGAACAAATTCCGTTGGTGTAACTGTCCTCAGACTACCAGTGACATTTCCAGATTTAAGTCAGTCCTGTCTCCCCCTTCAGGCTGCCTCCGCCCCACTCCTATGCTCCGTGCTGGGCTGGGCTGCCCCCGGGCCTTTGCACCGGAGGAGGCTCCCTGCTTCTGCGAATTCCACCTGGCTTCCTTCTCACCGTTCCCACACAGAGCCCCCTCCTTGGGGTGCCCTCCTGTCCACCAAAGAGGCTCCTGGCATTCTGCAATACTGGCTGACAGTGTCCCCAGGCTGAGAACGCTTGTGGCCAGCAGAGCCTCTTGCACCCACTTGGTGGCCTGAGGACCTGGAGAGGCTTAAGGGTGACTCCCTCAAGTCATAGTCGGTTTCCTCACTATTCCCTAAATCCAGGGTCACAAGTATTCACAGGACTGACACGGTAGTAGGTGTCACACTTAATCCACAGTCAAACGCCTTTCATCATTCCAGCACTCTGGCAGGCTGAGGCAAGAGGATCACAAGTTGAAGCCTAGCCTGGGCAATTTAGTGACTGAGTCTCGGTCTCAAAATGAAAACAAAATGGGCTGGGGATAGCACTCCAGGCAGAGGCCCTGGGATCCACCAGGGCTAAAGGAGGAAAATCAAAGTCTCTGGGAGGACACGCAAATGCGCTCTGCAGCCCCTGGCCGCACTCTTAAGGGACTCGGCACGGTGGGCTCCGGTGTCCCTGGGGTCTGGGACCCCAACCCCCCTTCCAGAAGCGATGCCTGTGCTGATGCTGCCCTGGTTGAGCAGAGGGCAAGCTGCCGCTCGGGGACACCTCGAATGGCCGTTAGCACACGGCCACAGAGAAAGATGAGTGTTGGCACCAGCAACACCCTGGGACCCCATCGCCAAAGCTACAGTGCCCACACCCATACCCAGGAACAGAAGATGCCAGCCCATGGCCTGGGCTCCCCATACCCTGGGGCTCCGGTGGGCTAGTGTTTTCTGGGTTCCTAGCAGCAGGATTTGGAGTATTAAAAAGGAAAGACGTGCCTGCGCCTACTAAAGAAGCGGGTCTTTCTCTAAGCAGGGGCGTTGCCCCAAGGTCGGCCGCAGCACCGCCCACCTGAACCGCCCGTTGCTTCCACTCACTCCCCACAGCAGCCATCAGAGGGCGCTATGAGCACCGCGCCAGGCCTTCCCTCTGCCCTCTGCCCTCTGCCTCCAGGGCTCCCACCTCCCTGGGGCCAAAGCCCAGGTCCTCCCTCAGCCCGCAGCGCCCAGCACGGGCCACTCATTTTTTCCCTGCCTACCCTGCTCCAGCCACAAGGCTGCTCCTTCTACAGAGCTCCTGGCTGGCCTGCTTGGCCCCGGGTTACTTCCTGTCACTCAGGTCTCCACTCCACTCTCATCCTATCCCCAGCCCTCCGGGCCTTCTAACCCCCTGGGCGTGCTATCCATTACCCTCTGCCCAGCAAAGAACATCTCGCATCCTCCCAGGGCCAGTCCACCATCTCTAAGGTCAGGGTCTCCCAGGAGCTTTGATGGTGTTCGTTGAGTGATGCCAGAGAATGGACGAGGCCAGGCAGGGCTCTGGGTGCTGAGCAGTCTGGGCACCTCCAGTGCACCTCCAAACCTGGCCCTGCCCTGAGGTCCTGATGCAGCAGGGTGGTGCCTGACGAAGGGCCTGTGCTGGCAGAGAAGGTGCTGCGCGAGGTGAAGCCCTCACCTGGCTCCACGCCCACCAGGAGCCTCCAGGGTCCCATCTGGGAGTGGGGTCCCTGCAGCCGGGAGGCTGTGACTGCAGTGGAGCAGGCCGTGACCTTCCAGGGGACATCAAAGGTATTGACACGGTCCTGAGAGACTCCTGGGGACAAAGTGGCTTTGGGCCCAAGGGCCAGATGTCCAGCGTGGGGGGTGCAGGAGGCTTTCAGGAGGGCATGGGTGACGCCCTCCTCCCTTGGACCACCTTTCAGGCTGGTGAGACGCTGAGTCCCCAGACAAGAGGCGCCGTTGTTCAGTATGGCTTTATTTTCTGACTGGCAAGGGCAAACCCAGCCAGCCTGGGACCCAGCAGCCCTGCCAGGGAGGGGTGAGGGGTTCGAACAGAAACCACAACCTGGACAGTGCAGATGCCCCCCAAGGGCTGGGTGGCTCCGAGGCACTCCCAGTCCCTCCAGGTGGGGCCCCTTTCCTTGAGGCAGGCAGGCTAGGTGCAGGGTCAGGCTCCAGGGAGTGGGGCCCATGCTGGGCCTCAGAGAAGCCAGCTAGACAGAAGTCACTGTCCGTCCTAGGACACAGGGTCCCAAGAGCAGCAGCCTAGAGTCAGCATCCAGAGCCACACACCAAGCCAGGGAGGGCTGAACTGAGCTGTGGGGGCAGGCGCGGGGAGCGCTCCGTTGATTATATTGCTAAGAAACCAATACACTTGGTCTCCCTGAGATCTACACCACCCTCTGGCCTCCCACCCGCCCGTGGGTCCAGGCCGTGCCTTCTCCATCACTCTTGTTCCCTGATCTGGACTCTTCCAGCGAAGGGACGAGAGGGGCCGGCTCCTCCCAGAACACATCCTCCTTCACAAAGGTGGAAACCAAGGCTGGAGCCTCAGGGAGTGGAGGCCAAGGGTGGCCAAGTGGGGACTGCGGGGTGGCAGCTGGGGACCAGCTCTGGCAGGTGGCTGAGGGCTGCAAAACGCAGAGGGGACAGCCAGGGGGACGGTGAGGCACAGCCTGGGGGCCAGGGAGTGGCAACATGAGCAGGGCTAGGGAGACGCAGGGCACTGGCAGCGGCCCGGCCCTTGGGAGTGGCGGCTCAGTGAGAGCAACAGGGTGGCACTGCCCTCCCTGCAAGCCTGCAGGCAGCTGCGGAGACAGCCCAGGCCCAGAGGAGAGAATCCAGGTGCCCGGAGGCTGTGCTGCCCTCAGGCTGGAGGACGAGGACGGTGACCAGTTAAATACACAGGCGCAGCACAGGGACCAGGAAGGGGCCCACTGTGGGGCCAGTGCACGCAGGTGCCATCTCCGCAGGCACACACGCACCTATCTCTGAGGGTTCCTGGGCCAGGGCTCCTCCGATTTGTCCCCAAGTTAGAGGTGGCCACAGGCCTCTGCCTGGCTCTCCTCCAAGGAAGTTCAGGAAAAGGAAGAAAACCCAAAGCAAACCAAACACCCCCAAGTCCAAGGCAGCAACACAGAAACCTCTATGGTCAGCACTGCAGTCGCCGCAGGGGATGAGGCTCCGTGACCCGCAGGTACCTGGGGCAGTGGAGGTGGGGCCGTCACTGTGTCTTGGCCTTAACCAGCAGCCTCTGCACTGTCTTGTAGAGCAGGCCGAAGTGCTAGGGATGGGACAGAGGTGAGGCCCGGGCCCTGGCCACACCCCTAAGACCCAGCTGTGGACACCCCAGGCTGCTCACCTGCACTGCCGTGTAGGCCATGCCCAGGTAGGCACCGATGCACACGGCCAGCAGCAGGTCGAAGATAGCCGGCTTGACCCTGGGGACACACAGGGCTTGGCAGGGGTGGGCAGGGCCCAGGCCCGTGCCAACTTCCTGCACAGCAGGACCCAGCCACTTACCTGTAGGCGTTCATCACTTGCTTCAGCTGGTCATAGAAGACAAACTCAGGGTCCCTGGGGAGACAGTGCTTGCTCACAGGCCAACCCCAAAAGCTGACCTAGCCAGTGACCCAGATGCTAGGCCACTCGGAGCCTGACTGCCAGCGTGTCCCTAACAAGAGATGCTGGTGTTTTCCTGAGGACATACTGCCCTCCTCTGACAGGTGTTAAGAGTTACTCTTTTTTTAATTTAAGAATTACTCTTTCAAAAGGAAAATAAGGTATCCAGGCACGGTGACACATGCCTGTCATCCTAGCACTCAGGAGGCTGAGGCAGGAGGCTCACTGAGGGGCTGGGGAGATAGCTCAGTGGCATAAGCGCCTGCCTGGCAAACACAAAGGTCTGAGTTCCATCTCTGGTACCAAGAAAAAAAAAAAAAAAAAAAAAAGGAGAGGATCACTAAAAGTTCTAGGACAGGCTGGGCTACATAGCAAAACTCTACCTCAATAACCCCATGCTCACAAAAATGAGAGAAAAAAATAGGTGACTAGATAGAACTGACCTAGGAAATACTTTTCTGTTATTTTTTATTTTGAGAGCATCTCACTACATCACCCATCATGGGCTCAGACTTGTGATCCTCCTGCCCCAGCCTCCTGAGTGCTGGAATCAGGCGTGGGGTGCCTGTGGGACATCTGTCTATAAAAGGTGAGCATAGGCTGGGAATGAGCCGTGGGGCCGCCGCTGTGTGCACGGAGCCTCACCTGCTGTGCAGGGTCTGTGTGTCCCACAGGTGCTGTGAGTGACCCAGCGAGAAAGGGCCCTCAGGTGGGGCCAGGGGCTCCCGGGGCTCCCTGGAGTGTTCCCTGAAGGTGGCACCATGGCTCCCACAGGGGCCTGGGCTGCATGCTTAGCCACTGCCCAGGCACTTGGCAAAACAGGCCACACCAGTGACCCAGGGCCTCGGTGTTCGGGGTCCAGCTCGTAACTACCACCATTGTAACCTTCACTGTGCTTCCGGTCACTGTGGGTAAACTCACTCCAAACACAGCATGGGCCAGACTCTCGCTGGCATCAAGCCTCTGGCGCCCAAATGGTCAGGCACCTGCACTCCCTGCCTCTGCCATGGGGAGGGGGTCAGGGTTGGGCACAGGATGGGAGGGAAGCCATGCTCACCGCTTGTCGGCCCTGACGTGGTGCTGCCGCACATCCTTGAGATAGCGGCTCAGGAAGTGCTCCAGCGTGCTGAGAAACGTGCCGTCCTTGTCCAGCAGCTGGGCAGCCCGTGGCTGGTTGGTTAGCCAGTCCATCACCGAGTCCAGCTGCTCCTGCTGGACCTGCTGTGGGGACACAACTCAGTCACGGTGGCCCTGTATCCATCCCCCCACCAGCCCAGTGCCTGCTTACCATCTGCTCCGTGAACACTGGCATGTCCGGCGGTGTCCCCTGTGGAGAAAGGAGGATGAAGCTGAGTGGTGTCCTGCCAGGGTGGTGACACGGCTCATGACTGGGGCCTCACCTTCTCCGTCAGATTGTAGATGACCCGTGTCAGGGCCTCAGCGATGATCCTTGTGTTGCGTGTCAGTGTCTTCGAGTCCACGCGGGAACTGGAAGAGGGAGCATGCAGGGAGTCACTCTCCACGGAGTTGGGGTGTCAGGGTCACCAGAGAAGAATATGGCCACCTCCTCAGCCAGGGCTGCGTGCCACACCTGTCAGCATGGGCCTCAGCAGTGGCTTGGCCTGGCCCCACTTCTCATGTGACCAATGACGCGACTGTGCACCCGTACATATCTCTTGTGCAACGAACGCTGTCCCCCGAACTTACAGCCACCCTGAACCTCGTGGCAAGGCTCTCCATGGAAGATTTTCCAGGGACCTAATTAAGGTGATGTTCCAGGGACAGGGTCCACAGAGAGGACGCACAAGAGATGGCCACAAGACAGGGGTGACATGGCCACACCAAGTGGCACCCAAAGCCCCCGAGCTGGGACAGATGAAGTGACCAATCAGCTCGGGCCTGGGCCCCAGACCCCGGGCTCCAGGGCAGGGGGGCTCCTAGCACTTCTGCTCCCAGTGCCAAGGCTTCACCCACAGGGACAGTCCTACAGGCTGCGCCCCCTTCTGAGGGAGGCGCTAGGGCGCTGCGCGCAGCCGCACCGCACATCCATGATGCTGCTGCGCTGCTCATCCCGGTGGCTCTCCAGGTGGGACAGGGTGAAGGCCGGCAGCCTGCGGATAGCGAAGCGCTCGTGCTCCCAAGCCAGCACGTCATCTGCCAGGTTGATCTTCTTGTGCACCATGGAGAAGCGCACCTCCGGGAACTGGTGGGTAGCCACCTGCGGGTCCGGGTCCACAGGTGGGCCATCACGCCAGGGCCTGGAAGCCCTGCCCACCAGCCCGTGGCCACACCCACTCCTCTCAGCCCTGCCCACCCATCTAGGCCCCGCCCACCATGCCCACCTCACCTCCTCCTGGCCACTCCCACACCAGGAATCTGCAGGTTGGAAGGGGAGGCCAGCCGGGGGGCTCCCTGGAGGTCCCATTTGTACAGTTATGGGGGGGCACAACAAGAAAAGTCCGCCCCGGCCGGCCACCCCCACCCCACACCCACCGTCTCAAGTTCCCGCAGGAAAGCATACTGCAGCGTCCCCTCCCTCGGCGGCTTGGATACGTGAAGGTGCAGGCTGCTGCCCCGGCCCACGGTGTCCAGGCACAGGACAAAGGCCACGTTGTCTTGTAGCAGGCTCGAGTCTGGAGGCAGCGTGGGTTTGTGAGGGGCTGTAAGATCCAGGAGTCTTGGGACTTCCTCCACCTCTGCACCCCCACTCCTGGCAGTGGCGGCTCACCTGTGTGGTCCAAGTTGTCCTCCAGCCAGCGCTTGGTGCCCTGGTAGTTGAACTTGCCCCCACCCGAAGCAAAGAACAGGAGGTTGTACCTACGACGGGAGACACTGAGGGTCAGCTGTTAGCAGTGAGCATGCAGGGACAGGCTGTAGATATGGCCCCTCCCAACCCGTCCATTTTGCATAAGGTGTACCCCACCTGGAACCCTCTTGGGGAGCCATACAGCACCCCTGCTTGCTCCTGTGAAGGGGTGCAGTGCACCCCAGTTACACATGCACCGGGGGGCTGAGAAATGGCCACGCAGACCCAAGAGCCTTGGAGCAGGATCTCTGCCAACATCATCAGCCAGGACGCAGCATGCTGGGCAGCAGCTGTGCCCTCATGGGAAGACGTTCAACATACAGGGTGACAGCTGTGACGATGGCAACAGACCAGACAGATGGCCAAAACCAGGACGCCTGAGGGCCCTAGAAGGCGGCTCCGCACTTGGACCTTGGCTAAAACACAAGACCCTGTGACACTCCTATTTCAGAGACCCCAGAGTGCTTCAGCCTGAGCACAGGACCTACTGATGCTAAGAGTCCACAGAGCCAGGCGTGGAGGTGCACGCCTGTCACCCCAGCACTCTGGGAGGCTGAGGCAGGAGGACTGCAAGGCAGGGCCCAGCCTTGGCAACGCAGTAAGACCCTGCCTCAAAGTTTAAAAACTCACAAATGGGCCCAGGATGTAGCTCAGGGAGAAGGCCCTGAGTGCAGGCTACAGCGGTGAGAAAAAGCAAAAGGGGGACTGTGGCCAGTGCCCCCTGTCCGTGGGTTGCACTTAGCAGATTCAGCCAACCCAGGGTCAGACAGATCCAGAACATCGTCTACACCACGTGACCCGAACAGTGTAAGGGCAGCATGCCCCACAGCACACAGGGTCAAGCATTCCAGGTCATCGAGAGGTGATTTAAAGTCTGTGCCAACCCACATCACAGTCCACCAGGGCCTGGAGTGCCTGTGGACCACACGGGCAGCAGCTCCCCGTGCTCTCGAGGAACTCCAGGCGGTGTTTTCTTGGCCTGTGTTTTCTTCAGCTCCATTTGCCCACTCACCACCTGCCTGTCCTGGCCCTGCTGTGACATCTCAGCAGGTGGCGCAGCCCCAGTCATTCCCAACCCCGCCTGGGCTAGGGTGGTCATTCCATGTCTTACAGCTCTGCTTTAGGGCTTAAAAAGGGACACCCACCCTTTAACCCTATGTTTAACTTGCTGATAAGACTGCTAGTACCGGGCAGTCACCCTGTGACCATGAGAAGGACAAGAGGGGTCCCAGACACAGTGGCCCCAAGCCCAGCACCTGTGGCCCCCGGCTCTGAGGGGAACAGCTGTCTCCGTAAGCCAGGACCTTGCTCAGGGTGCTCCTGTCCCCAGAGGACCCTAGACTGTGTCTTGGGACTCCCTGTGGTTGTCATGACTGCAGTGGTGGGTCCAGGGACAATGCCCAGCACCCAGTGACCAGAATGCCCCTGCAGAGAATAGCCTGGTCCTGGTGTCCCCAGGCCCACAGGGAGGTGGAGTTTCATGACCAGCGGCTGGCAGTTCCCAGGCGCCTAGGCTCATGGGAGGAGTTGAGGAGGCAGGTCAGGGGCCCCAACTGCAGGCAGGGACTGGACAGCAGACAGGCCCCTCGAGGCAACACTCACGCAGCATGGGTGCGCTTGTAGGTGTAGAGCCGGGAGAAGAGGCGCGCCAGCTCCAGCAGCACGGAGACACCACTCCCATTGGAATCTGCGCCCAGTGACAGCCACTGTGGTGGGAACACGGCCAGTCAGTGCCTGTCCCGCTCCTACCAGTTTTCTCTGGACACTGTCCGGATGGATGGCTCCTCTTCTCTATGCAGACCCCTAATATGGGACTCCAGGCATCCTTCATCAGTGCCCTCCCTATCCCCAAGGGGAGACAGTCAGCCACCCAGACTCATTTCTGTGTCCTAAAGCAACATTGCCAACCAGGCAGAGAGCCGGTTCTTAGAAAGACAGGAAAATTGGACACTCCAGTGACTGGGACCATCCCAAGAGCATGGCACATATGCCGGTATCACTGTGGTGTTCACAGAGGTGACACCGTGCTCCGGGAAGGACACCAGACACAGGATGCACAGCGTGGGCTCCATGGACAGGGAACGCCCAGGACAGGGGACACCAGAGACAGGAAGTAGACTCTGGGCATGGGGGTGGAGGGGGGTGGGTGACAGCCTGTGGTGCGGCAGAGAAGTTCGGGAAGCAGGCATTGGTGACGGCTGCTTGGCTTATGAACGTGCAAAGCACGACCCTCCAGCCTGCGTGGTGGAGCGATTTTTATTCTGCGACGCTGTGAGCTGGGCAAAGGTCGCCCGAGGGGGTACGCACATACCGGGGCCACTCCGAAGGCATCATAGTGGGCCACAATGACGATGGTGGGGAGATCCTCTCCGCCCAGCCCCGTCAGCCGCCCCTGTGGAAGGACAGTGTGAGAGCTGCCGACAGGGACCGCGTCACTGCCAGCGCTGGAGAAGACGGCAAGTGAGGGGCACAGAGGCAGAAGGTGCAATGCCCTGGGTCGTGTCCCAACATGCCCTCTGCAGCCCACTTCCACAGAACACGTCCGCCTGGGCCAGGGAGGGTCCCAGGGGCTCCCTGGGGCTAAGGCTGCGAACCCACAACCAGTCCAGGGCCTCAAGCTGAGCCCTGGCCCTTCATGCCTCCACTGGTGGCTCTGCTCAGGCCTGGGTGCCAGGGAACCTGCCATGAAGGCCATAGAGGGAGATTTTCAGCCCTGGTACAACTTGAGAAAACTGCTACGGATGACGGTTCCTCTGGTTGTGACCGTGTACCAATAAAACTTTATTTATACAACAAGCAGGGGGCCAGACTTGGCCTAAGAGCCACAGAGAGTGGGACCCAAGGTTTCTACAGCACACATTCCCAGCTGGAAACTCAGGCCACCACACAAAGCCTCCCACCATAGACAGAGGCAGAGCCTGGGGAGCCACTTACAGCTCTGAAGGGGAGGCGGGGCCCAGCGGGGGCCTCTCCCAAAGATGGGCCACCCCATTAGGTGTGGTGGCTCACACCTGGCATTCTCAGACCATAAGAGGTGGAGGCAGAAAGATCACAAGTTCCAGCCCAACCTTGGTAACTTAATAATTTAATGAGAATTTGGCTCAAAAAAAATTTTTTTTTGTTTTTAAGAGGGCTAGGGATGTAGTTCAGTGCAAAAGCTGGAATTCAATCCCTAGTATCTCAAAACAAAACAAAACAACTTAAAAATGAAGACGGGCAATCCTAGCCTACCCCTGCCCATGCAGCCAACAGCAGGAGCAGAAGATAGAGGCCTGAGCCAGCAGGACTGGCAATTTCTGGCTCCTGCTCAGGACCCCAGAAGCTTCCAGAACCAGTAAGGGGATGGCCATGCCAATAGACAAAGCCCCTCAATGGGAAGAAGGGCCCTCGGGGTCCCCACCTGTGCCTCAGCACAGCCACCCACAGCGCAGCGCGGCCTCCACACCACATCACTGGACCCTCCGTGCAGCTCCAGAGAACGGGCTCTGCGCCCTGCACTCTCCTTAGCTTTCTACCTCTGACCCCCCACATCCTCCACTGGCTCTGCTGGCCACACTCGGCCCCTGAACATTGGCTCCTCCTCCTGAGCTCTGGGCCATCTCCCCATCACCCCATGGACTGCAGGCCTCTTGGCCCCGATGTCCCACAGTGGCAGTGCCCACAGCCTCCTGCTGCCCTGGGACATCTGCACCAGAGTGAGCTCCTGCTGGCTCACTGCTGTTCCCTGTACAGAGCGGAGGCTTAGATGGACCAGGGCGAGGTACGCAAAAGCCCTGGTAGGGCCAGGGGCAGGTGGCCCACTCACCTCCACACTGGTGATCAGCCAGTCACTGACAGCCTTGCTCTGGACCCCGCTGGTGACCATTTGGAAGCCATTGGCAGTGGCCGTGTGCAGCAGCACTAAGAACAGGATGGGGCGGTCACTGGAGCTTGGGGCTGAAAGCTGCCCTCTAGGTGCCCCGATGACAGCCCTGCCCTTGCATTTCAGCCTGGAGCCGGGCTGTACCTGCTTTGTACAGGATGAAAGCACAATGGAGGCAGGGACAGGCATGGCGGCACAAACACCTGTGCCTACAAGCTCAGTACACGGGGCTGTGGGGCTGAGGCAGCCTAACACCCCGCGTGCAAGGCCAGCCTGGCCTACCTAGTGAGTTCAAGGCCAGGCTGAACTAAACAATGAAACCCTGGGCTGGAGAGATGGCTCAGTGGTCTAAAGCACCTACTTGAAACAAGCTTGGCAAAGCACAGGGACCGCGGTTCGATCCTCCAGCACCACATGCCAGCCAGCCCCGCCCCCTGGTGGGCTGAGCTGGCCACACACACACACACACAAAATAAATAAATTAATAAATAAAAATAAAATAAATATTTAAAAAAAAAAAAAACAAAAAACAATGAAACCCTGTCTCCAATCCTAAAAGAAACCAACACATCCATCGGTTTAGGGTACAGCTCAGGGTAAGAATTTGCTGGCCTGGGCCAAGCTTTGGCCTCCAGCCCCAGCTCCATAAAACCCCCAAACAGCTAAATAAATAAAATCCACACACTTGGGTCTGTAAAACCTTATCACAGGCAGCTAAGGAAGCAGGCACCTCAGAACTCTATTTTTGAGTCTTGACATATTTAAAATGAGTTATTTAGCTGTCACTGGTATATTGCATTTTATATTGTTTTTTCCTACTACCTAATGTAAATCAATTACTTCCAAGGCAGTAAAAACTCTACCTCAATGATTTTTTTTTTTTTTTTTTTTTTATGTATTTAGTACAGGGTCTACGGGGTCTCACTACGTAGATCAGATTCGTAGTGATGAGACTGGGCGAGGAGGCACACGCCTGTAATCCCAGCTCGTAGGAGGCTGTAAACAGGTGGATCACTGCAAGTCTGATCTAGTAGTAAGACCCTGAACACCCTGTAGACCCCTAAAATACCAAGAAAAAAATCTATATCTGTATCTATGTGTATATATATATATATATATATATATATATATATCTGTATCTATCTATATAGATGTAGATATAGATAGATACATATATAAAAACATAAAGATTTGTAGTGATCCTCCTGTTTTCAGCCTCCCAAGTGCTGGGATTACAGGTGCGCACCACCACACCCAGCCTCAATCGCCCTCTCAGCGGGCCGGGATTGAACCCAGGATTGAACCCCAGCCACTGAGCTCTACCTAAGCAGGTGCTTTAATCTGCTGAGCTATCTGGCCGGCCCTACCTTAATAACTTTTAACAGCTATGTGATATTCCCCCAAAGACAATTTTCATCCTTCTTTTTGCAAAACTCCTCTCTACTGCAGTTTAGAAAAGTCTCTTGTCTAGTCTTTCAACGTGACCAGGGGTGGGAGACTTTCTGTACAGGTCCACAGAGTTAATGCTTCCAGCTTTGTGGGCCAGATGCTTTGCCATAGATGACTGTAGTGAAGGGCAGTGCCATGTGCCAATAAAACTTTATTTACAAAGCAAGGACTACAGGCCAGAATACACCAGACCCAAGAACCTGGCCAGGAACAAAGAACTGCTTTTCACAGCTTCAACGCAAATTGCCAAAGTGCCTGCCTGGCAGCCAGGCAGGGTTCATGCGTGCCTACAGCTCTGCCTTCATATGCTTTGCATTTATTTATCGTGGGGCTGGGAGTGGAGCCCGAGTCCTTCATCACAATAAGCACTCACCACTGAGCGCCACCCCAACCCCTGCTTCCTCTTTTCAGACCTACTAACAGGTGTCAGGGCCCTCAAGTCTTTGATAACTTTTGTGCTCTTGCTTTCTTTTTCTGGTACTGAGAATTGAACCTAGGGCCTCTGGACTGAGCTATGTCCTTCAGCTGGTTTTTGGTTTTTTGGGGTTTTTTTGATGCCCAGGCTGGGTTTAAACCCGGCTCTTCCTGCCTCAGCCTCCTGAGTAGCAAGGATTATAGGCACACATCACCAAGCCTGATTGTGGGAGCCCATGCCCCAGCCTCCCTCACGTGTGAACTGTAGCCTCAGCCGATGTGCCCAGCCCTGGGCAGAGGAGACAGTGGGCTCCCCTCCAAGGGACACTGCCAACTGCAGGCCTGATGCGAGCAAGCTGGGGCTCAGGACTCATGGTCGGCAGAACGAACAGGGCCAGAGACTGCTGCCTATTGCTCTTATACCACAGGGAAGGGGGCAAGGTGCGGCTCCTCACCAGGGCTCTGGCTCCTGCGTTAGGTCCGCAGGCCTGGTGGTCACACAGGGGATCTACACAAGCTGCGACAAAGCTGGAGACGCCCTGGCCCCTGGACAGGACGCTTGCCTGCCCAGCCCACCCTCCAGCAGTCACCCCCAGCTGCACCCACCTTCAGCTGCAGAGGCTGAGCCCTGGGAGGTGGAGGCAGCCTGGGTTTGCTCGTAGATGGACAGCAAGGCCTCGTCCTCCACGGCGAAGTACACAGGGACAATGGTCTCCATGGCCAGCATCTCGGGCTCGATCTCCATAAATTGCTGTGGAGGAGAGAGCACTCAGGAGGCGCAGACAGGACAGCTGCATTCTTGTTCTTCCTCCGCTGAGATCTCCTCCTACGGGGTTTCCCAGGCCCTGTTGCTGAAGAGCAGGGATCCCCGGGTGCAGTGCACACAGGGGCTAGGTGGTGCTCTGGGCTTCCTGGGCAGCATCCCTGGCTTCCACCCGCTCCATGCCGGTGGTCCCTCCCAACAGGATGACACTCATCTTATCAGGGTCCCCGGAGAGCGGGGCAACAGGGATGAAGGGTCAGAGGACCCTCACCTTCCCAAGGGCAGAGGGCAGAGTGGCCAGGCAACTCAACCAAGGTCACGCAGGTCACTCACCCGGACGACGTCCTGGGGCACCGCGGCCATGGCCCTCGGCAGGATGATGACCACGGCGCCTGCCGACTGCCGCAGCGCCTTCTGGTACTGTGCGTAGGAAAAGTCTACTAGCCGCATGAGCACGCAGCGACGGCTCAGCACATCTGCGTCCACCGTGCGCGCCTCCGTGTTGAGCACTGCATTCCGCGTGCCTGAAAGACAGCGTCACCCTGGCTAAGGCGGCCTGGAGCATTGGCCTGTGAGGCCACCTCCCATGTCACCCACACACCACGTAGCAGCCCGCCCCCCACCCCACAACAGCCTGGAACCACAGCAATGCCTCCGCCCTTCTGAGGCTGCAGAACGTGACCGGGGACATCCACACACAGCCCCAGCTCCAGCCCAGTAGGGCTTCCCTCCAGAGCCAGGACAGGACAGCTGTCCTGCTCTGTGGCCTTCCCGCGAGACCTCAGGTGTGCCTACACGCCACTCTCCAGCACTGAGAAATGAACCCAACCCTCTGAGACAGGGTCTTGCTAAGTCACTGGAGGGCTAGGCTCCATCTCTGATACTCCTGCTTCAGCCTCCCGGGTGGCTGGGATGACAGGTGCGTGGCACCAGGCTCATCTCCAGACATTTAGACTGCGGCTACCCGCGCTGTGTGTGCCTCGGCCCTCCCTCGCTCTAGAACAGTGGTCCCTGGTCTTTTGTGGCCCTGGAAGTCGATTTCATTGGAGAGTTTTTCCAGGTGGTGATGGGGGGAGGAGTTCAGCTCTGTTCCTGTCTTAGAACTTGTCTATGACATGTGGCAGTTCAGGCCACAACATTAGATTCTCACTAGAACACAATCTTGGTCCCATGTCCAAGCCCTGCGCCATGGGGGGACATCAGGACACAAGACAGGCCCCCTTGGGCGTTTCCCTCCAGGCTCCCATGGGTCTATGGACATCTGAGATTTACAGCAAGGCTGAGGGCTAAGGTGACACAGCAGGACCATCTCCGGGACACAGTGGGGGCCTGGAACTGCAACGGTCAGCCCCTCCCCACCAAGCACCTGTGGGACAGGACTGGCTCTGCGGGGCATCCTGGGTCCTCAGACCACCATGCCAGGAGCTCGCCAGTCATGAGGGCCACCCATGTCCCCAGATAGGACCCAGCTTCCTTGAGGAACAGAATAGCCAGTAGAAGAGACTCCAGCTGTTATGATTTGTGTGTAGCTGTCCTCCAAAAGCCTCATACAGTCATTGGGACACAGTTCTAGAGTTTGTGGTTAATTCATGATCCAATGCTGGCCTTAGGGGTGTGAGTGCTACACTGGGCCCAGGGTCAGCCTGAGGGCAATATGAGGGGAGACGCTGGCTAGCTGCCACTGCTCCTCCCTTTTCTCTATTTTCTGCCACCATGAACTGTTGCCCTCTGCCATGTGCCACTCTGCCTTAGAGCCAGCCAAGTACGGACTGAAACCTCCACAAACTGTGAGCTAAATAAACCTTTCCTTTCTTAATTCTGGGTGTCAGGTATTTTGTCCAAGCAATGAGAGAAAAGTAACTGAGACAGCTGCTCTACCTTGGACACCATCCCTGCCCCACCCTGCGAGCTGAGAAGGACCCTGAGAAGCAGAGGCACCAGCCCTGGCTTCCCAGAGGCCCCACCCCAAAGGGGCCACAGGCTGGAGTGGGGACAAGACAGGGACCTCTGCTTGCTACAGGTTCCAGGTCCACCCTGGGCAGAGGGACATGTAAGGCCTCCCCAGCATGCTGGCCCTGACTGTTCAGGCAATGGCCCCAGGACAGCTGCCATGGGGATACACGGGTCAGGGGGCCACGGGGGGGCCCAGCCCTGGCACGGAGACCATCCTCCCGGTGTCTCGGCAACAGACATGCACTGGATTCCCCAGGGCTCCCAGAAGGGGTCTCACTGCCTCAGCCCCTGAGGCCCAAGGATGAAGGAGCATCCACTTTCTCTGCACCTCATCCACTTTCAGGGCTCACCAGGCAGCTTCCTTTGAGGCGCACATCCCCCCCAGCCAGGGCCAGCCACTCCATGGGGGACATGGCATACAGCAGCGCTTCCCAGCTCACCCATCATCAGCACCCGGCGGGGTGCACCCGGATGGCACCCAGCTTAGCCATACTGTACACAGTCCTGGAGCCACACATCAGGGGGCTCTGGCAGCCCTACAGAGCACAGGGCCCCCAGCCTGTGACACAGCCCAAAGGTCGGAGGTCTCACAGGCTCACTGCAAGATGACCCAAGAGCACATGACACAGCAGGCAGTCCAGAGTGGGGCCAATGGTGTGGACCAGAGCAGGCCCACAGCAGGGAGGCAGCTCAGGCCTGGAGCTTCCCAGCAGCCAGTCTTCTAGGAAGCAAAGGGGCCTGGTGGGAAGGGGTGGAAGCAGGAACCGAGGGAGGGAGCAGCACAGCTCTGGCATCCTTGGCCTCTGCAGGTGGCTCAGATGTCACCCCTCCCTCGAGTGCCACTGCTGGGCCTACTATGTGCCTTCCCAGCTGCCTGAGCACTGAAGGTCAAGGACACAACCCTGCACTGTCCTAGACAGGAGAGGGGGTTCAAGGCACCCAGCCAGACACAGGCACCCCCCCCAAAGTCACTGTCCCCCATTTTAGGATGAGGACTGCCCGTTGACCTGACCTTAGCAGTGGTGACCCCACACCTACCCAGCACCCTTTGTGGGGAGTCCACCAGAACTGGGACAGACAGCCACAAGCTGCTGTGGACATAACCCTCTTACACGCACCAACACCAGTGCCCATGCTGAGTCCCGGGTCTAAACCAACTGTTGCCACAAAGGTGGGTGAAGCACCTGTAGCTCCCCTAACGCAAGGAACCTGAGTAAGACTCAGCAAACATCTCTGTCAAGGGTCACTGGGTGTGAAAGCAGCTGGGGGTGGAGGGGTGTGGTCATGTGCCAATAAAACTTTATCGACAGCCACAGGTGGAGGGCCAGGTCTGGCCCCCAGGGTGTGAAATGAGGGCCAGTTCCTAGCTCAAAGGTTCCTCTACTCCTAACGCTGACCTTATGACAGGGTATAAGTGGCCAGCACTCAACACCAAGGGATAGGTAGTACCCTCAACAAGCCATGTGGGGAGGAAGGAGGGACAAGTCACCCTGAAGGGCAACTAGGCCACCTCAGGTTTGTACCAGCCCCACCCACACCATCACTGGGCACTGATGCTGGGGGCCTTTCCTTCCTGCCCGCCTGCTGTGTTTCTCAACAGAATCTACAGGAAGTTGAGTAAGGAGCACCTACCAGCAAGGGCTGGGCTGGGGTGGGGCGCAGCTTGGGGCAGGGAGCTCCTGGGCACTGCACACTGAAGACACCCAGAAAGTGTCTTTATGCCCAGGGTCTCAGGGACCCACCCCACCCCACCCCAGCACAGTCTCAGGGAGCTCAACCTTTGCCTCCAAGTGGCAGACACAGGTGGTCCCATTGGTCCTTCTTCTACCACAGGCCACTGGCCTCTGGGTTTTCCAGAAGCCAGGAACAAAGAAAAAGGAGCTGGGAAGCGGAGGCCTCAGGAGTGGGGAGGAAAAGGGGCAAATGACGGGAAGCCCAGGGAGGACCAAGGCAAAGCGCCCCAAACTGCCAAGCAGGCAGGACAAAGGGACACGAGCTGCCTGCCAGCCACACCTGGGCTCAGCCTAGGTGTCAAAAGCAGCCTGGGGGGGCTGGTGAGATGGCTCAGTGGTCTAAAGCACCTATTTAAAACAAGCTTAGCAAAGCACAGGGACCTCGGTTCAATCCCCCAGCACCACATGCCAGCCAGCCCCCACCCCCTGGTGGGCTGAGCTGAGCTGGCCACACACACACACACACACGCATAAATAAAAAATAAAAAAATTAAAAAAAAAAAAAAAGGCAGCCTGGGGGTACAGGGACAGTGGGTGGAGTGTGAAGCTGCTAGTGGGTGGCTGACTGGAAGCCAAGAGGTGTGTCACCAGGGAAGCAGGTCTAGGAACTGGCCTTCCCTGTGCCAGACTGCTCTGGGAAGAGTCCCACTGGGTCAGAGCTCTGCCACCCAGTCTGGTAGCCGCTAGTGGTGTGCCGCTGCCTGGCCTCGCTATAATCACACAGCTCTAATCTAAACTCTTGATTCCTTAGCTGCAGCTCCAGGAAGATATAAAACACGACCGATCACATGGTGGTCGGGTCTGCTGAACGGCACCACAGTGGATCATCCTCCCCGAGGTGTCAAGCAGTTGCTCCCAAAGCACTTGCAACATGGTGCAGAAGCCACCATGTTCCTCTCCGCCCACCCCACCCCCCATCCCCCCACCCCCGCCCCCAGCCCAGAACTTGCGCTTACACCATCACTCTAACCCAGGGTCCTCCTTGGAGTGAGGTGTTTGTAGGGCCTCCTGGGCACTGCAACGGGCTGAGCAGCAGCCCTGGTCTCCACCCACTCCAAGCCAGGTGTCCCCAAGTTGTGGCAGCCATACGTGCCCCTAGACATGACACAGTGTGGCCTGAGCTGACAACCACTGCTCTAAAATGACTCAACTCTGGACAGAGAGGCATCGGAGGGACTGTCGGGTCCATCTCTAGAAAATGGAGCTCCCCAAGAGCCTGGCCAAATTGTGGGGGGTGTGGTGGCCTTAGCTGGAAGCATATGGCCCAGAACAGGATGTGCAGGGGTAGGGATGGGGTGGGAGGGACCGGACCAGAGGTGCACATGGGGCCCGGGAGGTCACAGTCTGAGGTTAGGGACTCACTGGGACTAGGACGGGAAGAAGACAAACAACTGGCCAGGAACTTCTATGGTGCAAGGCACAATGAGGGGACCAAACCTGAACAACGTGGTCAATGGGATCAGGACCAGGACAGCAGAGTGGGCACAGGATCCAGGCCTGGGGTGGGGCTGAGCCAGGGTCCAAGAGACCCACGAAATCTTGGGGGGAAGGGAGGGGGGAGCAGGTGACATTCTACGTAGCAGTGAGGGTGTACGTGTGTCAACGGCGGGATCAAGAGTGGGCCCAAAAGACGCCACGCGCAGGCTGGGATAGTGGCCTGGGTGAGGTCGGGGTGCACAGGATGGGACGGGAGATCGCCGGAGGCAGAGGCAGCCCAGCTCCTGGGTCCCAGGGTGCACAGGCCTGGCTGAGGTCGCGGGGGACGGGATCGAGCCGGTGCAAGTGTTGCCGGCGCGAGGGCGCGTGGCCGGGCGGGGACGCACCGTAGGGCTGGCCCTGCAGGTCGTACTGCTGCATGCGGTACACCGTGAACTCGTGCGCGGCGTCGGCGGCGGGCAGCGGAGGCGCCACGAGCAGCAACACAGCAGGCAAGAAGACGATGAATCCGAGCGGCAGGCACGATGCCTTTAGCATGTTCTCCAACACCTCTCCCGCTTCTTCCAACATCCTGGATGGCGGCAGAGGCCGCGCAGAGCAGCGGCGGGGACGCGACGAGGACCGGACGGCAGCGGCTGCAACCGCAGACTCACCTCGGCATGGGCAGCTGCTGGGGTCCTGCGGGCGCCGCGCCGGGCAGTCCGTGTGAGCCTCGGGGTCCTGCGGGCATCGCTGCGGACAGCCCTGAGGGCGGAGATACCCTTCTAAAGTAGTCTCCAAGGCGCGCGCGGAGCCACCTGGGAATTGTAGGCTCACTCTGGGATTCACCGAAGGAAATCATGGGGGAGACTAACCCTACTAAATTTTGCATAAATTCCAAGTTGGGAAATACAGAGGCTTAAAAATCTATTTTTCAGTAGAACTTGACTTAACTGTCACTGGTGTGGAGTGGGGGTGGGGAACTATGACCTCGCAACCCGGAAGGAAGTAAGAAATGCGGAAAGAGGAAGTGCTCATCTGATACGCTCGATCTTCTGGGAAGTGTAGTCCTAACTTTAAAAAGTGCAAAGGATCACGGGAACTGCAGTCTTTCCATAATCTCTTAGGAAATAAAATTCCCAAGGCGTATAGATGTTAAACTCCCTGCAGACTCAGATCTTAATCTCTTCGTGTATTGATGTATCAACAGACCCCTGAACACAACTCTTGGCACCCTATGTGTGAGCTATATACAATTCTAGGATGAATGAATAGAAAAGAGTTTAAAAAAAAATCCAGGATAGCATGTCTGAATCTTGTACTATAAATAACCACTAAGAAGACAACAATATGCAATGTATTAATTATTAAAACTGTCCTACTAATCGGTTTTGAACCTGTCTTACTGCGATTTGTTTCTCAATAAAATTATATTTTTAAAAAATCATGCCAGCCATTGCTAAAGGGATGACGCAATGCGTTATGGGATTTGTAGTCTGGAGCCGGGGGCAGGTGCAGGGGCTGGTGGCATATGCATTGTATTTATCTTCATTTACATTGAAGGCATACAGACCTTGACGAATCATTCACTGTGTAAGGGAATTTCAAAATTACTTTTCAGTTGTCCCATATCGGTACTTTCTTAAGCTGGCAACCATAAAAACCCAGCGAGTCAGGTTCTGGGAATTTACGGAGCAGCAACAGCTCACCCCACCACACCCTTTGAGTAGATGGGAAGATGAAGACCAAGGGAACAGGAATCAACCACCAGGCCCTTGGCCAATTGGATGCCTTCTGTCCCCTGTGAAAAGTACCATCTGTGATCTATAAAAGCACAGGTTCAAATCCCAGATCTGCCCCTTTCCAGCTGGGTGTCCTTAAACAAGTGGCTTCACCTCTCTGCACAACTGCTTCTTCACCTGTCAAAGATGACAGTAAATAGTTACATACGTGTTACCTTAGCACCCGGGGAGGCTGAGGCAGAAAGATCAAACGTTGGACCCTGGGCAACTTAGCAAGACCCTATCACAGAACAAAAAATAAAAATGGCTGGAGGCATAGCTCACTGACAGAGTGTTACCAACTGTGTTCTCAGAACTAGCACTGGAAAAAAAGTTTTCAGTAAGAAAATCAGAGCAAACTGACAGTAAACAGGGAGGTACCCAGGAAGTGCTCAGTAAGTGTTGGTTTTATGCAAGTGTACCAAGCCCTGGCAGAACCCAGGGCACATACATTTGCTTTGCTTTTAGAACCTGTTGGCACCTCTCCATGTTGCATGGCATCATGCTGTCTTTCAAGGCCCAACATTTCCTAAGCCATGAAAGGCTCTCCACCCCCCCCCCAGCCTCAGCACATCAGCACATTTTGTATTTCTTATTTTGAGATAGGTGGTTCTGTCCAGGTTGGCTCCAACCTGAGATCCTCCTGCCTCAGCCTGTCCAAGTGCTGAGATGACAGACATATGGCACCACACCTGGCTCAGAGTATGGCTTTTAAGAAGTGTGAGGACGGAGGCTGCTGTTTGTTGGCTGTTATCCCTGTGCCCAGAATAAAGCCTGAAGGTCAACGGCAAGAAGGAACAGGAAAGGAAGGACGAAAGGTAGGAAGCTAGGAAGGAAGTAGTATCGCTTCTCGGCCTTTTGGCTAAGATCAAGTGTAGGAAGGAAAGAGTAATGAACCGCACCCCAGATCAGCCAGCCCCTTCCTGCTCTGACCTCCTGTGGTTCCAAGTCCAAGCAGGTGACAGGGGTGGGGTGGGAGGTGGGAGACTGAGCCCCGACTGCGGGGTGCTTGCGCTCTTCCCTCTTCGGGAGAGCCTGTCGGTGCTCACTTCCGCGCCCTCCCCTACCCCTCCCCCGTCCCAAGCCAAGGTTGTAAAAGCGCTGGGGTGCGGCTCCAGGGCTGGGGTGCAGCACAGCAGTGAGCGCTTGCCCGGCACCGCTGCTGCCGCTGCCTCCTCTCCCAAACCTTGATTTTTCTGTTTTATTTTATTTTGGTCTGAAAAACGGAGACGCTGTGAGACGTGGTGGCCCACACCTCTGATCCCAGCACTGCGGGAGGCTGAGGCAGAACGCCAAATTCAAGCCCAGCCTGTACAACTTGGCAATTTAGGGAGACCCTGTCTTGAAGTAAAAAATAAAAAGGGCTGGCTTTCCTGGCAAGCCCAAGGGCCTGAGCTCAATCCCCGGTTGCGCGGGGGGGGGGGGGGGGGGGGTGCTGGAATGAGCTCAGTGTGAAGGCCCTGGGTCCAATGAATGAATGAATGAATGAATGAATGAATGAGTGATGAATGAGTGAATGAATGAATGAATGAATGAAGAAATAAATAGTTCATCTCAGGAGGAAAAACTCACTGCACCTTAGGGGGCAGGGACAGGAATGGGGGAGGGGGACTGACAAGAGCACAGAGCTTTAGGCTGCCCAGATTCCTCTCACCCTAAATTCCACCAGGACCCACCCTGCCTGCTGTAGCCCCAGATAAACACACAGGACAGGAGAAGGAAAACACAAGAAATGAAGCAGCTAGGAGGTATGGTGCATGCCTGTCTTTCAAGCACTCTGGAAGGCTGAGGCAGGAGGATCTCAAGTTCCAGCCCAGAACTCAAAATTTTAAAATTTTCTCAAAATTAAAAAAAAAAAAAAAATTAAAGCGCTGAGGATGTAGCTCAATGTGAAGCCCTGTTTGGACACGGGACTGGCTTGCCCAAGTCCCTGAGATGGGACAGTCTCCCTCATGGGCTCAGGAGCAGCTGGCCTGCCTGCACCTTGACCTTGGACTTCTGGCCTCCAGAACCAGTCAAGCGTGTGTCCCCACTGTAGCCACCCATCCTGTGGGACTTTATTTTACCATGAATTTGACATGGCCATGCGGTTGTGGCTGTGGGGTGTACGGAGCAGGAAAGAGCCACCTCTCCCACACACGGCAGAGAAATAAAGACTCAGGGAGGCACTGTCTCCCCTGAGGCAGAGGGCAGGTGCCCCCGACCCGTGACCCCAAGCCCCTGCCTCCTGGGGACAGGGAGGTCCTCAGGGCTAGATTGTCATAGGCTTTGTGTCAAGCAGAGGCTACATTTGAGGACATTAGCAATACCTGCTAATCCTGGGACACCTCGGGTCTGTGGTGCCATTGAATAAAAACCAATTCATATTAAATGTAATCTCAAATAAATAAATGAATGTGATCTACCAGGGAAAGTTCCAGTCTTCGTTTGTACAACACCTCCAGGGATGGGTATCTAAGGTACCAGGCAGGGAGGAAGCAGAATGACCACTCCCCAAGGTATCAGGCAGGCAGGAAGCAGAATGACCACTCCCCTACACCCTGTCTCCCACACCCCCTTCCCCTCCCCCTCTCCCAACTTCCCCACCTCCCACCCCCACCCCACCCCCTCACAGCTGAAAGGAGGTAACAGCCTCTAGCTATGGCGGCGTAGTGGTCAGGGCTTCCAAGGAAAACAATTACATAGAGGACATAGAATTGATAAGATTAATTTATAATGATCACCCGAAAAGGTATATGCAAAGAGAGTGCAGGAACTCTGTCTACACACTGAAGACCAAAGAATCCAGCTGAGGACCTCCTGCGAGTTTGTTTCACCGATCTGCAGTGGGAGGGTCCCAAGGTCAGGTCAGTGGTGGAAGCTGGAAAATCTGCGCCAGCCAGCGGGAAGAGGGGTCTGGGCCAGCCACTGAGAGATCTACGCTGGAGCCAGGAAGCAACGCTCAAGGAACCAGAGGTCCCCTGAAAGGTACCACAGCCATGCTCAGTGACAGTGAGACCCTGAGCTCTTCCGACAATGAGAACAACCAAGTCCATTTCAGGAAAGCCAGCGTGACAGGCTTTTCCAGGAGACTGAGCAGTGTCCCATCTTCCCCTCCAGAGCCAGGAAGCAATGTTCAAAGTAGAACCAGAGCTCCCCAAAGTGACCGAAGCCATCCTCAGCAAAAATGAGGTCCCCCAGCTCCTCTGATGATGAGAACAGCCTCATTCTACCAAGAAAGCCACTGCGACAGGCTCCTCCCAAAGGACCAGCAGCTCCCTAACGGCTTCTCCCCCAGTTCTGCCTCTTGTGCTGCCAGCAGCCACCCTCAGGCGGGCCCCCCACACCCAGCACCACCCTGCTTCAGTTCAGCTGGGTGTCACAAGTTGCCCACCAGTTATCGATCCACCACAAGTGGGTCCCTCAATGGGCCACGTCACAGGGGTGGAAAGTGGCGACAGTGAATCTTTTTTTTTTTTTGGTAGACCGGGGAGTGAGCTCAGGCCCTTGCTCTTGCCAGGGAAGCGCTTATTCCACTGAGCCATCTCCCCGGCCCCTCCCTCGACAGTGAATCTTGAAGGAAACAGCAGGTGACATGTCCTTGGGACAGGAGGGTTGGGCCTTTTCCTCTCTGCTGGGCTGTCAGAGGGAAGCCCTAAAGATGCAAGCACCAAACTAGAGGAAAAGGCCGGGCATGGTGGCACACACCTGTCATCCCAGCACTCAGGCGGCTGAGGCAGGAGGATCCCCTTGGGTTCAAGGCCAGCCTAAACTGCATAGTGAGACCCTGTCTCAAAAAAAAAAAAAAAAAAAAAAACAATGAACCAGCTGGGGAGGAGGCTACACAGGGTGGAGGTGGGGGGCTGGCATCCCTAAAGAGGAAGTAAAAGGACAGCCTTTGAAGTACGCTCACACGCACACACACCCATGCACACACCCACATACACACAAGCAGACACGGGGGCTCTCCCCATACAGCACCCCAACTCACAGCCATGCTCCCTGAGGCACCTATATAAAAGGCCCAGTGCACAGCCCCGCCCGCTGCCTGTGCACACCGGCACTGAGTGACCACATGGCCCAAGCAGCCCACAGCATCTTTGAACTTCAGTGTCACTGGGGCTTGAAACCCACAGTCTGGCCTCGTAGCCAGAATGCCCCACAGAGGCTCCCAGAGCATGTGGTCTCCCTGTCCCAGGTAGCTCTGGGGAGGGACCCTGCTGGGGCCACAGATCCTGGAGGCTGCGGAACACTGCGGGGCCCCAGACCCTGCCTGTCTGTCCTGCGAAGGCCTTACATGCTCTTAACGCTGGAGATGCTAGACAGGGGCTCCCGCATCCTGAAGCTCAGTGAGCGGGAGCCCCGAAAGCTGTCTTTGGGCCTCAGCGAGCTGTCGGTGGTGGACGCCCCAGAGTGAGCCTCGGTGGCCCTGGCCAGGCAGTCCCCTGGCCCCCGCAGGCCCAGCCGCAGACACCCACAGCAGAGGGAGGCCAGCACTGCCCTGCGCAGCTCCCGACTGTGGAACGTGTAGATGAGTGGGTTGATGGCCGAGTTGGACACGGCGAGGGCCAGGATCCAGTCCATGGCGCGCAGGTACTCCTGGGCCGACCCGGTGGCGCCGAAGACATCGGCCAGCAGCAGGCCTAGGAGCGGCCCCCAGCACACCAGGAAGGCCACCAGGATCATGAGCACCGTCTTCAGAAGCCGCCGGGACTTGGAGCGCGCAGAGGGGCGCTGGGCCTTCCTCCCGCTGGCCCGGACCACCCGAGAGATGGCGCTGTAGAGGACCACGATGGCGATCAGGATGCCCGCGAAGACCACCGCGCACAGGAGGATGTAGTTCTTGGCGTAGAGCGGCAGCAGCCTGGAGCAGCGCTCGAAGGCGCACACGCAGTTCCAGCCCAGCAGCGGCAGCAGCCCCAGCAGTGCGGCCAGCAGCCAGCACAGGCCGATGAGGCTGTACACGCGGCCCCGCTTGGTGGCCTGGCTCTCGGACACGCAGGGCCGTGCCATGGTGGCGAAGCGCTCGCCGGCCGTGAGCAGCAGGCTGAAGGTGGAGGCGGCCAGCGCCGTGAAGAGCAGCCCCTCCCGCAGGAACCACTGCACCGGGGCCAGGAGGAAGGTGCGGGCGCCCGAGAGCAGGACGTTGGCCAGGTAGGCGACGCCGGTGAACAGGTCGCTGAGCGTGAGGTTGACCAGGCAGCAGTAGACCCAGCGCCGCGAGCGCATGTGCGTGGAGATGGCCACCAGCACCAGCAGGTTCTCCAGCACCACCAGGCAGCTGGTGGCCACCGACAGCCCACGCAGCGCGCCGGGGCTGCCGTCCTCGCGCCCCGCCAGCCGGCCGGAGTGGTTGTAGTGCAGCACGATCAGGCGACTGTGCCCGCCGGCCGACAGCTGGTGGCAGGCCTCGGGAGGCCCCGCTGGTGGAGGCCACTCAGTGGTGTTCATGACCTCCCCGGGGACAGACTGAGGTCAGGGAGGGCAGGCAGGGTGGAGCTGCCTGCCTCCCTTGGTTTTGGTTTCCTGTTATTTAAAATTTCTGTTATGTTCCAGGTACCCCTAGGGTGGGGGTGCAGGCCAGGGAGGGGCAGCCCAACGGCTGCTGGCTGTGGGCAGGGGCCCAGGAGCAACGGCTGGGGACAGCCGGCCTCCACGGTGGTGCAGACGCCCTCCCGGAAGGGGGACGGGAGGAGGTTGCAGAAGCACAGGTCCTCAAGGGCCGTGGGCAGCCAACTGTCCGCGCCCCACTGTTCCCTAAGCTGTCCCTCCCACCCCCACCTTCCTCCCCTCAGCTCCCAGCTTGTGTGTACACAATGGGCGCCTAACAAGTGCTTCTCCTGTGAGCACCCTGTTTTACACATGCTGTAGGGCCAGGTTTGACTTGCACCGTCTGCTTGTTCACAGAAGGAAAAATTGAGGCTCACAGAGGCACCTCACAAGGCCCAGACCCCTTTGGGGTTGGTGGCTACACTGCCAGCCTCTGAGTTCCCCTGATAGGAGCAGCGCTAGGCCCTGAAGGCCCCTGAGCCTGGACAGAAAGGAGCACACAGAGTGGGGCCCCTTCCATGTCCCCGTGACCACCGGCTGGGGTGACACAACCTGAGACTGTTGTGGGTGGGAAGGAGGAAGAGGCTCTGTACACCCCGGAGCCTGACTGTGACCAACCAGCAGTGAGGACAGGGTCTGCTTCCTGCCTGCCCTGTGCCTGGGTCTCTGCTGTGCCCCCAGAAGGGTTTGGTGTGTGACACAGCTCGGGAGGCCCTGCTGGCGGAGGCCACTCAGTTAGGACCCAACTCCTCAGCCACATTCAGCCCCTGGACCAGGTCACCACCTGCCCGCACCCTGCATGGCCACCAGCTCTGCCAGGCCCGGCCCCCAAGGGCACCAGTGTGCCAGGGACCTGTGTTTCAATGCAAGGGACAGATGTCCAATAATGACCCAGTTTTCCCATGAGAAACTAGAGTGTCCCCAGAAAGGCCTGGAAGGGGGAGATGGGGCTGAGCCAGCACAGGTGCCAGCCCTGCCTCCATCCCCTCTTCTACGGTGCTACCACAGTGGGACAGCGGCAAAGAAGCTGAGCAAGGCTGGCAGGGAAGGGGCCAGCACCAGGCCACTGGAGGTCACAAGGCAGACACTCAGCTCTGAGCCCTGATCCTGGCCTGGACCCTGAGCACTTGCCTAGCATGCACAGGACTCTGGGCACCATCACCATGCAGACCGTGATGAGCAAGCCAAAGCCTACACAAGGAGGGCAGCCATGCCATGGCCCCGAGTGGAGTACTATACAGCAGAGTAAAAGCACCAGGAAGTTCTCCACAAGGGAAACAGACTCAATGACTCACTCAATGACATGTTGGATTTTTCTGTTATTGTTGTTGTTGCTGTTATTGTTGTTTTGAGACAGGGTCTTGCTATATAGTCCAGGCTGGCCTTGAACTCACTGTGATCCTCCTTTCTCAGCCTCTTGGATGCTGAGATAACAGGTGTACCTCACCAACACCTGACACTCAGGATATGTCATCAGGTGGAAAAAGATTAAGGACCAAAGCACATGTACCAGGGCTGGGGAGATGGCTCAGTAGAATAGGCGCTTGCCTGGCAAGTGCAAGGTCCTGAGTTCAATCCCCAGTACTGAAGAAAAAAAAAAAAAGCACACATAGCAGACCCATGTGGGGCACCTCTCTGTATGCCAGCACTCTGGGAGGCCATGGGAGGAGGATCGCCATGAGTTTGAAACCTGCCTGGAATACATAGTGGGACTCTGTCTCAGAAACAAAGCAACATGCAATGGAGGGGATCACACATTCCAGGGCTGCTGGGGGCGAAGACTGATTCCAGGAGGCATGTGAGGGGAATCTAAGAGGAGCCTGGAAAGTTTCTGGTGCTACAAAGTCAGGTCATGCTCAGGGGAGGATGGGGCCCTCCCAGGGATACACTAGGGCCACCAGTGAATGACCTCACTGTAGGCCCCAGCACCACCCTCCCTGGCATCTGCACAAGACAGCCCACAACCTGTCCACTTGGAAGCGTACACAGAATGTCCCAGCAGCAAGAGCCAAATCCCCCAGAACAGAAAAACCCAAGTGTCTTCTAAGTGGGGAGAGGGACACACATGATTCTATCCATCCATACACTGGACTATTACTAAGCCAGGAAAAGGAAGAAACTCCCGACACTGCCACGGCATGGATAGACCTCGAGGACACTGCAGCCAGGAAAGTGAGCCACACACAGAAGGTTGCTCACTGCAGGGGCGCATCTCAGGAGGCCCCAGCGTGGTCGGAGCCACAGAGACAGAAGCAAGACGGTGGTGCTGAGCTGGGGGAGGGACGGGAGTCAGTGTCTCCTGGGGACAGGGCAGGCAGATAGGAGGTGGCCGGGGGGCAGACATGGGATGCACTTGCCGCCGCTGAGCCAGGGACTCAAAAATGGTTAAGATGGTGCATGTCATTACATGCATTTCAGCACAATAGAAATAACCCATTTTTTATTTATTTATTTATTTATTTTTAATTTATTTTATTTATGTGTGTGTG